TGTGTGTGTGTGTGTGTGTGTGTGTGTGTGTGTGTGTGTGTGTGTGTTGTGTATGCATGACATAGGTCCTCCGGGTCAGGCAGGTCCTGGGGGAGTAGGCAAGAGAATAACCCACCTCACCTGGTGGAAAAGTACCAGGAAAGGGGCATGACTGGCCCAGGCCTCTGGAGATGGGGAAATGTCAGTCCTTTGAGCCAAGGAAGCTGGCCAGTTAGTAGCTGTGTCCTCACAGAAGTTCTTATCATTCTAAGACAACTGCAAAAGACTCACGATGGAAAATGCTGTCCACATCTAGAGAAAGAACTTTGGAATCTGAATGCAAAAGGAAGCATACTATTTGCTCTCCTTTTCCTTTGTTGTTTTGTTTTGTTTCTTCTTTCATGTGGTTTCTCCCATTAGCTCTAATTCTTCTTTAGGTCATGACTAATATGAAAAAATGTTTAATACGAACGCATAAGTAGAGCCTGTATCAGATTGCACGCCATCTTGGAGAGAGTGGAGGAAAGAGAGGGGGAGAAAATTTAAAACTCAAAATCTTATGGAATTGAAAACTAAAAATAAATTAATTAATTAAAAAATTCTTATCATTGCCTGCATTTCCAAGCTTTGGTATCATGGGATAAAGACCTAGATTTATCAGCAAAGTTGAGACCCTAAGAAAAGATTTCTCCTGTTGTGCTACCTTCCTTAATGCTGCATTCCCCTGGGGTCTGTGATGGAAAGCACACATAGGACTTGGAGAAGCCTGATCCATCTAATCTAAGAATAAAAAGGAAAACAAGTGACTTGGGTCTAAAATAACTGAAGGCATCAGTTCATGAATTATCAATCACCAAGTGATGTCAGGTAGCCTCCAAACACCCTTCTGAGGCTGGGGCTGATTGTCCAAAGCCCATGTTCAGGGCTAGTAAGCTCGATGAGTGCTAATAAGCTCAAGGTTGTGGGTCCAATCTCTTTGTGGGCCCATTAGTTTGGCTCTGCTCTGTAGCCATAAACTATCCTTCTAGCCCTGACTAGCTGACTTGAAAAGTTGTTGTTCAGCCATTTCAGTTGTGCCAGACTATTTGTGACCCCATTTGGGGTTTTCTTGGCAAGGATACTGGAGTGGTTTGCCATTTCCTTCTCCAACTCATTTTACAGATGAGGAAATTAAGGCAAACAGGGTTAAGTGACTTGCCCAGGGTCACACAACTAGTAAGTATCTGAGGCTGGGTTTGAACTCCAGAAGATGAGTCTTCCTGACTCCAGGATGGGCATTCTATCCACTGTGCCACATATCTGCCCTTGAAAAGGAGTACTGATACTCATAGAAGGAACTGGGTAAGGGCATAGAAAGATCAGAACAAAGTGGCTACCATAATTGGGAGGTGGGCGGGGAAGCTTATAACAGATTTAACTTACTCCACAGATCTTGGGAGCAGAGTTCATTATCATATATGAATTATAGTATATATTATTCAGTATAGTTGGGAATGGAGATTCTGGTTAATCAAATATTCTAGTTAACAGAGTGATCATGAAAAATAATTTCCAAAGAATTAGAATACAATAGGTTGCAAGTTAGTAGACAATGAAATGACCTTGAAAAGCAGCTTAGCATGGTGGTTAGAATGCTCAACTTGATGTCAATAAGACCCAAGTTCAAGTCTTGCTTCTGAAACATAGTGGTTATAACCTCCTGGACAAACAAGCCATTTAAACTCTCCATGCCCTGGGAGATTCTCTAAGACTGTGTAAGTCATGGAACGATTGCTGATCCGACTTGGTGGGGGGAGTTTCTTCACTGAAAGTTGTCAACATCAATGAAATCATTAGTCTGAATTTTTTTTAAAAAAGTGAATTTAGTACTAAAATGCTGTTGTTAGAAAATTGGGGGCAGCTAAGTGGCTCAGTGGGTAGAGCACCAGCCCAGGAGTCAGGAGGAACTGACTTCAAATCTGGCCTCATACACTTACTAGCTGTGTGACCCTTGGTAAGTCACTTAACCCTGATTGCTAAGAAGGAAGGAAGGAAAGAAAGAAAGAAAGAAAGAAAGAAAGAAAGAAAGAAAGAAAGAA